ATTGTCCTGGTTGTTCGGCCCGAGGGAGCGCTGATTGGTCACTGAAAGGAGCTGGCGACCAATCAGAGCAGGAGCGCCCATTCAAACTGGATTGACCCCATTGTCCTGGTTGTTCGGCCCGAAGGAGCGCTGATTGGTTGCTGAAAGGAGCTGGCGACCAATCAGAGGAGGAGCGCCCATTTAAGCAGGGTTTTGCGCCCTTTCTCCTCATTGGGTGAAGAATCCCCTCGCCTCCCTGAGCGCTGTATGGCGCACATGGGTTTTGCACTCTCTCCTGATGGGGCAGTGAAAGCCCTCTCCGCCCCAAGCGCTGATTGGTGCAAATTGGTTTTGCACCTTTCAGCGGATTGGCTGTTGCTTGGTTTGGACACAAAGTTTGAATTCATCGGACCAAACCAAGCAACACTGTGGAACTGATTTCAGGGATGTACAGAATCTCGAGCCCCAGACTTTAGATGCTGGTATCTCGGACTCTGCCATTTGCAGGGTTCCCAGATGGGACCCGGAGATATCTAACGATTTATGTTTTACCTGTGTGACCCCTTCACTTCCTAGGGCACCAAGCACCAAAGTTTACCCCCTGTATGTAATGTGTTGTCATGTGTGTCCCTGTGTGCTAGTGGTATCTCCCAGAGCGGGAGATCGTTATTGGCAACCCAGCCCCCTCATGCTTGGGATTGTGTTGTGTTGGATGGGTACAGGTCTGTTCATAAAAAGCTGTGTGCCCAAATAAAGATTGTCAATCGTTGTACCCTTGGAACCATCCAGTTACTTGGGGGGGATGGGTCTCTTAATACATTATTAGCGGGGGTAACCAGCCAGGTTACCCAGGTCCCACTACACACACCATATAACACATACAGAAACATACACGGACACACATGTTGATACACATACACACTGACACACATGCAAATGCAGACACACAAGCTAACACAACGATACATATATACACAAAGACACACATGCAGATACATAAACACTTAAGGACAAACATTTAATTACACAGAATGACACTCATACAGATACACAGGGCACACACTTACATACATATATGCAGACATACAGATACACATGCAGATACACACACAGACACACACATACATACATACATAGACACACAAACAAAGACACAGATACATACAGACACACACACACACATACAGAGATATACACACACATATATACAGAGCCATACTTACAGAGACACACACACATACATACAGAGACACATACACACACATACAGAGACACATACACACACATACAGAGACACACACACACACTTACAGAAACATACACACATACATTAGTCACCCTCCTGTATCCTACCTTTTAGATGCAGAAGGGTGACTTGGGGTCCAGTGGCGGCTCAGGCTGATGGGAGTCAGAGTTCCCACTCTGACTCCCTCCTCTCCTTCCACCCACGCAGGCTCTGTGTAAACTGGGAGGAGTGACCAGGGCAGTCACTTCTTCCCAGCTCTGATGTCATCACCGGGTGCCCAGCCGCGCTGTTAAAGCGTTGCAATGCTAACTGGGCCCCCTGGAAATATATAGCATCATGTGGCCCTAACAGCATGGGCCACTGGATGTGCCCCTGAATTTGTGAGCTTGGCGGTTCTACCGCGCGGGTTGGGTCCACAACACATGGCGGCGGGCCCAGTTGCAGTTGTGACCCCTGCGACCTCAGTAGTTCCACCACTGCATATCACCTACCTTACATAAGTGTGCAAATTCAGGACATAATTATAATGTAGGGCAGCTCTAGAAAATGTGGCCGCATGAACCGTCTATAGTGTAAATTATGAACCGTCTATAGTGTGAATGATTAAGTTGTTAATGCTATTGAAGTAGGATGAATTTGTGAACACTAATATATTGTTAGAAGTTTTATGTTTTTTATGCTTTCCTGTTAAAATAGATATTTGTACAAAAGTATTAGTTTATATTCAATTAATATTCAATATATTTCAAATAGTGTGTCATGTCAATGGAAACTGTCTGATCCTGTTCTTTATATATCGAACAATGCTTCCTTTTTACTAGTAAAACATTGACACATTTTTATAATAGCCTATGTAATAAAATAATAAAATATGTATGTAAATATGGATTTTTTTTTTTTAAGGAAAATAAAATTAATTTCTACAGTGTAAGCATAAGAGCATAAACGATCATTCCGGGACATTTTACTGCTTTTTTTTTCTGTATCTTTTTAATAATAGATGGCACATTAAATTCTAATTTTTAGCAGCTTGTAGATAATGATGGAGACAGATTTGTACAAATGGCTTGAAATAAATCCTGCTAACACTGAGCTGCATGTGCTGCTGATGCAGAAACTCATCATCACGGTTAACAAAATGAATAAAAACATGCAACTTATGCATGTAAATATATATTTTTTGTGTTATAGCAATGTAATAATTCTTGGAGTTTTTCAGTTTTACAATATTTTTATATTTATAGTATTATTTACATTGTTATGATTGTAAACTGATCAAGCGTTAACAAAAAATATATTTCAAGCAGATTATATAAAAGAGAAATACAGATCATTTTCAATGATATAATTTTTCAGTTGTAGGGTAATAGTTTTTTGATCCAAGGATAAATCTTACTGACATTCTGGAGTAAAAAGGAATTTTTTTCCTAGTTTGTTGCAAAATTGGATGTGTTTAAAATTGGGTTTTTTGCCTTCTTTTGAATCTACAGTAAAACAGCAAAAACAGATGTGAGGAAGACTGAACTTGATGGACACATGTCTCTTTTCATGTCTAGATAACTAGATACATGTATATTTATGCAAAATATGCAATAGACCTTTGTATTAGTATTCTTAATTCAAAGCAAGTTTAAAAACAATATAAATAACAATTTAATAAAACAATTTTAGCAAAATATATTGTCCACTTAAACAGTTTCCATATTACATAGAATGCCTAATGCTTTATAATGTCCAGGGTATTTTATTCTTTCCCTATGATGCATATTCATACTTCCTCTACCACTCATGTTATTTTAAAATAAGGTCTGTTTCTCTGTAATATGTTTTTGTGCTCCTCACGTTTTGCAATCATATTGTCTCTCTATATTGTCATGCTAACAGTTCAATGTAAAAGACACTGACCAAAAATAAAATACATATATAAACAGGAACAGAGATTTTGTTGGTGAAAAAAAGCAAATAGCAAAATTCAGGTAATAAATATCTATACTGTGTTTTAGAATTTTTGTAATCATTTCTTTGTTCCTAAATTTTGTCATTCAGTTTTCAATACACAAAATTTCACTGTTTAGCTTTTGATGAAGTATTATTATAAATGAGTAATATTACAATTTTAAATATTATAAAAACAATGCTTTGCTTGAGATAGATAATGAAATGAAAACTATATAGTAATGCTAAATCTTGAAACATTTTATCCAGTATCTATAAAAACCATGAAAGTGGCATATTTTCTATTTAATTCAAATAGAGAGTCTGCTCACGTTCCAAAGTTATCGCTCTTTTTTTTTTTTTTAAATTGCATATACTTTAGACATTTGAGTGTTCTCCTTGAAGAAGCTAACTGGAATTACTTTAACGTATCAGGTTACATTAATGTGACATTACTTGTGAAGTAGTACATTTTGTAATCTCTTTGGTGGAAATATTATGCAAATTATTTGTAAATGTGACAGCCTCAGGAGCAGGGCTGAATTAACATCTTCTATTGTGAGAGTATAGTCAATAAGTTTCAGGTCAGAGGATATAGAACTGTGTGTTCACTATTTTATGAAGTAAGTTTTTAGAGGAAAGAGAAACACTGCCATCTCATGGATTTGCTTCATTAATGTTTCATTAATGTTTGCTGCTGCAATGTGTACTTTTTCTTTTCAGTAGTCATTCAATAAGAAAAAATGCAACTTTCAACACATTAAATGTTTCTGAAAATAAAAGAATTTCCTAAAGTATAAAGAAGAGGAAAAAAAAAGAAAGAAAATAATAAAAAACAACAATATTTTTGTGTCCTCGGGGAACTGGCTGAATTTTTATATTAATTATATCCCAATTACCGACCAATTTTAGGGCATGACCCTAATTCTTTTGCAAAATAAAGTAAATAAGTTACTTATCAATCCTATTTTTGTGAAAAAAAGTATTATTTTATTTATTACTGGCTTTTATAAAGTGCCAACATAATCTGCAGCACTGTACAATTGGAAAATTTGCAAATATACACTAACTAAAGTTAGAGAAGGCCCTTCCGATAACCTGAGATCTAACCATTTGAGCACTGTTATACAATGTGCTTAGTTAGAAAGCCTGTGAGCTTACAATCTAATAGATTGGATGATTGGGGATCTATTACAATCTAATAGAATGGGGATTTGAGACAATGGGGATAAATTTAGTGATGACTAAAGGAAGTTAGAGTAGAGACCACTACCTTGGTGTTATACTTGATTCTGGCCTCACATCCAGTCTATTACCAAATCCTGTAGATTTCACCTTAAAAAAATAGCCTGGAGGGGGGGGGGGGAGCCTGGCCGAGCAAGGAAATGGCAGCTTAACTCATGAGCTGCGCCAAGACCCTGCCAAATTCACAGCACCCAGAAGCACTTGAGCACCCTAAATCTTCCAAAGCCTCACCCACATTCGTCCTAACCCATACCGATTCCCCTGTAGCTCATAAGGGGTGAAAGAAAGGCAAGAAACTCTGTGGTTGCACCTATCTTCCTAGCTAGGCACGGAAAGGGTCCGGCGCCATCTTTTACACAATCCCAGTCTGAATTGAACTTGGACATGAGCAGCACCGTAGCCCCAGAGCGCAGAGACGCCCATCTTATCTGCCCAGATATGAAGGGATTCCTAGCGGAATTTAAAAGGTAAAGCAGAGGAGCTGGACAAGCGCCTTGTCCCGATTAAGGAAGACATGGCAGACCTGGTGGCCCAGCCTAAGCAACAGAACACAAAATGGAGGAACTGGCTGTGACTGAGAACACACACGACACAGATATCAGAGAGCAGCTGCGCCTCCTGGAGGAAACCAATGAGGACCTCAGCAACAGGACATGCCGGAATAATATCCGGGTAAGAGGCTTACCGGAATCGGTGTCTACATACCTCCTGCCGGACACGCTCACCGCAGTGTTCCAAAACCTTCTGCCTAAGGCCACTGCAACAGACTTCCTCATGGACCGCGCTCATCATACCCTGAGGGCACTCAGTGCCAATCTCACCAACCCGAGAGACAATTTAGTGTGTATGCACTTTTATCATATTTGCACTTTTATTACATCAAAGACCACCTGATGCAGGCTGTGAGAGAGACCCCTATTGAAATAGAAGGGGCTTAAATTTAACTCTTTCAAGATCTAGCACCAACCACACTGCAGAGAAGAAAATAATTCCGCCCACTGACACAACATATTACCCAAAATGGCACCCCTTCAAGCTCATAGTTCAAAAAGATAACAAATTCTTCACAATATCGCAACCAACAGAAGCCACAGAATTAATTGACAGACTGGGCCTACCACAAATGACCCTACCCCTGCAAGACTAATGACTGGCACATCAACCTCCACTGAGATGAAGAAGACCGACGCGCGATGCAGCTTAACCGCCTTCCAGCTCCCAAGCTCAGCCGTCCACCCCGAGAGCCTAACAAGACCAAAGACCCAGGGACCTAAACTACTCATGGCCCTCATGAACTGCAGTGCACAAGTTACCGGACACAAGTGACACAAAAGGACTGACAGGATAAAACAGGTACCACCCTGCAACAACACCTATTAGCACTGTTATTGTTAAGTACACAACTGTTCAGTATACCCAACAATTAGGGGCAGGTTAACACAACTTCCACCCTAGTCACCATAACTGAGGTCCGATCACCCCCATACGACCCCCTCCTGACAAACGTCCAAAGTCAGGGATCCCCCCCACCTGAACAGCATATGACCCTCTACTACGTACTCTCCAGCCAGACCCCGCCCAGCAACCCACAAGCGACAAAGCTGGCAGCAATTTAGTCACTACAGAACACCGTGAGACGACACTCCCCCCCCCGTCCATCAATAGGGATCAGACCACCTGATGCCCCTGGAAAACCAGGCCACAGCTCCTTATGACAGAACTGATCTCCTGCGACTACAAATAGCAGACTGACTACCAACATCAAACCCAAACTCTTGCATACCCCGACCGCCACTCCCAAAACACTTATCCACGGCGGACCTTACTTCACTCAAGCATCCCCCTTAGACCACAGAATCTCGACCAGCCCCCAATGGAGCTAGCTCCCTCCCCATAAAAACAAAGGATACCCATGCGGAAGACCCGCACAGCACTTGTCCTGACCAGGACTAAATAAATCACCAACGACTACCTATGGCCTACATTTTGGGCCATGACTCACAGACCTGACCTAAGCCCAAGCTCAGACTGCCCCGGCAGGGATAGAGGCACCCATGCAGTAGAGGCAAGACCCACGCAGACAATCCCAGGATGACATGGCCGGTGGCCACATGATCCCATTAGACCAGAGATTGAGAATGTACATAGGGGCTGCTCCAACGGAAGATAGACAAACCCTGCACAAGGGACAGGACTTGGGGGCCCAAAGCATCACCCACATAACCACAGGCCAAGTCATTAACAGCAGTACCAAGGCATCAGATACCTATTGACAACCAAAGTCAGACATTGCTGCCCCCAACCTACCACCTCAACCTCAGTAATGTGAACTTAATGGGGCATAGTGGCCACTGGCCACACAGGGACAAAGCATATCATAGGAACCACGCATGGGGAACCGAGAATAGCACCATATCACCACTAGGACACTACACCCTGGGCAATGTAGGGATATACAGCATAAAACTATGACACCATTACAGCACTAAGGCATAATACCCCATTCTGGGTGCAGAGAAGTATGCAGATGCCCCCCCTTTAGAGATATGATTGGACTAGTAACCCCATATTCAATATGCGAAAGGCAACTCGCTTCATTGACCGGTAATCTAGCACTGGGGACTTACAGTAGGGATTCACTACAGGGACTGACACCCAAGCACTTAACCTATGCAGGAAGATGGGACAAGCCACAACCATGCCCTTGACCCCCAACACTGGAGAAACTAGGTTAATTAATGTTTATTTTTCATTGTTTAAGAAACACTGTGCAAGGTTAATACGATATGCAAGCATTCCTCACATTAGCAAAGTAAATTAGAAAAGTCCCTAACGAGACCATGTTTCTACTGTTTATACTTACAATATGTTGATGTTTGATATTTGCTACCTGATGTTTATGTTTACCCTGGGTACTTTTGTAACTGCAGACTCTACATCCGATCGAGCTGTGCATTCACCCAAGGTGCTGTCTAAAAAGCAGGGATACGCACTGCGGATGCCCCATCCATACCAGAAAAGCCACACCCCGCACAGGTCGGTCGGCACAACAACCTCCACTTACCAGTACACCCAAGACGAACCCCCACCTTACCTCCCATCCTCTCTATAACCTCCACCCCCCACAAAACATGTCCTCACCCAAACTCAAACACACACAACACTGTGGCAGGTCAAGGCGATGGCTGCCACCGCTTGCTGACACCTCTCTCTTCCCTACCAGACTCGCTCAAACCGTCTCCACCAGAAGACATGAGTCCACCACACCACTCCTTACTGACCAGATTGATAAGTCCAGAACTCACCCTCCGCCCCCATGTGCGGCCCCTCCCCCCCGACAACGCAACCCACCCCCTCCATCCTTAAGTACTACCCAACCTCTCAACCCTCTGTTCTTGCCGACTATGGAAGCCTCCTGTATGTTTGCTTATTATTATGTTATTTATATATTATTATGTTATTATTTATATAGCCCTAAACAAATTCCACAGTGCTTTACAGTGGGTTGACAAACAAACATGTAGTTGTAACCAGAGAAGTTGGACACACAGGAACAGAGGGGTTGAGGGCCCTGCTCAATGAGGTTTCCATTCTATAGGGAGTGGGGTAAAGAGACACAAAAGGTAAGGATAGTATTAGACTGATAACAGTTGCAAGAGAGGAATCAGTCTGGAGCTATCAAACAGTTTAATTGATATGCTTTTATGAAAAAGTGGGTTTTTAATGATTTTTTGAAGACTTGGAGACTGGGTGAGCATCTAACAGAGAAGGGAAGTGAGTTCCACAGGAACGGTGCAGCCCTCGAGAAGTCTTGAACGCGAGCCTTAGAGGTGGGGGTACCGGACAGAAGATAGACTTAAGTCTTCAGCAGATGGTAAGGGCCTAGACGGGACATACTTGTTTATTAGGGAGGATAGATAGGTGGAAGCAGCATTATTTAGAGATTTGAAAGCAAGAACCAGAATTTTAAATTGAGCCCTATATCTTACAGAAAGCCAATAGAGGGACTGACAGAAGGGTGAGGCATGGGAGGTGCAAGCGGACAGGAAGATGAGCCTCGCCGCATTCATTATGGACTCTAACGGCGCAAGTTGGGAGCACATAAGACCACTGTGAAGCGGATTACAGTAGTCAAGGCGAGAAAGGACAGTGGAATGGACCAGCACCTTAGTAGCATCTGACATTAAGTAGGGTCGGATGCGCACAATGTTTTTTAGATAGAAGCAGCAGCATTTGGCAATAGACTGAACATGAGGCATGAAGGAGTCAAAGAGAACACCTAGGCAGCGAGCCTGTGTGGTGGAGCTGATGGAAGCACTGTTGACTTGGAGGGAGGGAGACACAGGAGTAGCAACACTTGAGGGAGTGTAACGGATCACCCAGCACCCTGACTGAGTACCTCCTAGCGCTTACCAAGGACCATCAACACTGCACCGAGCACCTCTCAGTCCTGGGAACTCTGAAACCGAATGGGGAATTAGCTCTAGTCCTTACAAGGACTTTCCCCATTGAATCTCCTGCAAGCTGGAACAGCAGACACAGGGGCAGGCGTTCTTCCTGCAAGCTGGAACAGCAGCCACAGGAGCAAATCTTCTTCCCTCCAATAACAGGAAGACACACAGTTTTGGAGTGTAAGCAGGAACAGAACTGTTTAATGAGCACCAAAGGACTTTCTTTTATGCAGGTTTTCCCACAAGGTTACCACCCACCTAGTGGGACCTAGTGGTACACAGGACATGCAATTACAATAGCCAATCAAAACATTACAGTACAGTCAGACACTCCCAGCCAAGGCACACAAACCCTCCCCTCTGCCTCTGATATAATTACTGAACACAATGGGTTAACTCAATTATCAAAAGCAGGAAAATATACAGTTTTATACAATATTACAATATTCCGCATTCTGGAGTGTTATCACAAAGGGAATTAATTCACCTCCCGAATGGGGACCACCCCAATCCCTCATTTGGAACGTTAGGTTAGAATGTTCCCACCTCGCAACCTAAGTGTCAAAACCACAAACTGCAATTAATGAGTGCTTCCCTGGGTGGCCGCCATTCGTATACACGTATGCCACCAGTGGGAGCATTTGTGGATTGTTTTCCACCTCGTTCATTTCCCAAACGAGGACCTCCCCGGTGCCCCATTAGAACATTTACACCAATTAATCAGAACGTTTGCACTCGCAACATAGGTGTGAAACCACAAGGGAAGTAATTAATGAGTGCTTCCCTGGGTGGTCGCCATTTGTATAGATGAACACCAGCCAGGGGGAGCATTCATACCCCAAAAGGAGAAGTTTCCCATGTCTGATTTTCACACCAGGACCTTGCGAACGGAGCCTAGTCAATCAAGGGACCAAGGGACCATGGCAAGGGTGTTCATATTTCCCATAGAGTTTGCTTGAATTTACAAAGCACTGCTCTAATTTTATTAATTAGCATGTATTTAATAATATTTATATAAGCTTTTATTTATTTTTTTTATTCTTTATTTTTCTTGTGCATTTGGTTACATACATGCTTACAGTGCCACGACAGCGACTGTTAGCCATTTCAAGACATATAGTGGCATATCTGAGTGGTTGCACATTTATTATTTGTTGAGTATAGTAGGCTAACAATCGTTAAGTTAACTACATGAAATAGGTACACATGTTGTAGCAGGATAATTATAATAGCCGTAGAGTGACCAATGTATACTAAAAATATGCTCCTGGCAATGGCTGTGGAGGGGCCTTATGATATCTGGCATGTGTCTAGCTAGTTAGTGTTGTCTGCTCCGTTAGTATGTGTGCTGTGGGGTTAATCCGCCTATGCTTTAATGAGCTGTTCCGGGAGGTGTTGGGCTAAGTAATGTAGTGTATCATTCTGTGGTGTTCTCTTCCCTCTGTTATCGTCAGGTAGCAATATAGCTTGGGAGGTATCTAGGTACTGAGTGTATTGTAACCCCGTCTGTCTGCCGTTTGGAGTGATGTGCCTCCTTGTTTCCGCTTAAGGCAGACGTGGGGGGGAGTAAGGTAATTAACCTGATGGGAAGCGTTCTTGTGTGTGTCTGACAGGTAGATAGCTAGTAACATTTACTGGTACATTAACAATTATAAACACAATAATAAGCAATATAAAGTAAAAGTCGGCAGGTAGGCAAAGTAGCAAAATTATTTGGAGAATCGCGAGGAGTTCGTTCCGTAGTGGTGAGATCATACAGTCCCAGCAAATATCTTGTTGCGGTTTACACAGCCCTTGGATCTCTCATGTCGGGTTGTCAGCATGGGAGCCGTGTCCAGATGCGGAACAAAAGTTTTCACCCTTTCCGGGTTCCACCTGTGTCGTGGTTTGGTGGTCTTGGAGGTTGTCGTGGAATGTATGGCATCTTGTATGGGTAGCAAGTCCTGCGCTCCCTGTAGGTCGTGAATCTCGTGGGTTTTCCTGCCATGTGTCACCAGCAGGGAGCGGCTGAGGCGCAAATGGTATGTTATGCCTTGTTGCTTGAGTAGCGTTGTAAGTGGCTTAAGCGACCGTCTCCCGGCCAAGGTACTGCCGGACAAGTCCGTGAAGAAGGAGAGGGACATGGCTTCTAAGGAGTACTGGGGAAGGTTTTTGACCACTGCCATGGTTGCGGCTCTGTCTTCCTTGTGCTGGAAGCGGAGTGTGAAGTCCCTTGAGGCCACTGGTGGGACTTTGGTCGGTTTGTTAACTCCATCCAGGCTTATTGCTTTGGCAGTTCCTCCGCTGGCATGTTGTCTGGTACTACCTTTATGTTGGTCGCTCTGCATGCGTCCTCCAGCGCGGCAAACCGCCGCTCAAAAGCCTCCGTTTTAGTCTGCAGACCCCTAATCTCCAGTTGCATGGCGGCAATATGGGTAGCCGTGGTAGCGGAGGTATCCTCCATGGTACCCAGTCTCCCGGTCATTGCCTGGAGGTCTTTGTGGAGGCCCGCCATTTCTGCCTGGATCGTGGTCTGTAGGCCTGCCAGTAATACTTTGAGCACTGCTGTAGTGACTGGTGCATTATCAGGTTCTGGTTGTGTGGCTTTGGCTGCCGGTGGACTGGGAGAGTGATATGTGTCCTCACCTCGGGAGAAGTCGTCCGACAGGTCAGAGTAAGTCTCTGGGTATTCAGCCATCTTGGGCCCAGCCGCTCCGTGGGCCTGACGCCACATGGCTCCGATATCAAGGCCAAGTCTGGGCTGGTTGGGCTTTTGCTTTTTGTTTTTCCATTGCATGTCGATTCTGCTGTTATTGCCTGGGATTTGTGACTATTTTGGTCATTTTTTTTCAGTTTAGATTGGGTGTTTTTAGCTTGAAATCGCAGGTGCTACAGTGCCATGCGACTTCTCTGCTCTGCAGCTTGGCTCCGCCCCCATAAGCTTATAATTTTTAAGACTATTGTCTTGACATGTTAAATATATTCCTGTTTTTGTGACAAATCCACCTTCAATTTGAGTATCAACTATTTGGTTTCTGGAACTCTGTTAACTGCTTTCAAACCATAAATATAATTTTAAGACAATTTATTTTATAGCTGACACCAACTGCTACATGGCAGACAATCCAATATGACTCTGCATTTGTAAATGAAAGAAAATATTGTTTGCAGAATATTGTGTATATTATCTTTAAATGTATATTTTGAAAAAAAAATGGCTTGTCTTTCTGCCTGTAAAAATGCTTTGAGATTTTAATATTTTCTATATTTTTTTACTTTTGAATTGCTCATCGTGACAAATAGATCTATCTCCCATTAAACACTTAATTTTCATTCTCTATTTTTTTCTTGAATCTTGGTGAAACATAAAATGTAATAAGAAAATATATTATGAAACCAAAACTCATCATTGAGCGCATTGTTACTCTGTTCTCATGCTTCAAATCGATCTAGAATAAAATAACTGGTATAAATAAATATAATTTTAAATACATTGGATAATACTAACATAGAATATTCAATATTCATATAAATTTCTAAGATGTATTTTTCAAACTTTTTGCTAGCCAGACCGTCTGTGACTGGTTAAGAGAGAGCAAGAGATAAAAACCTGTCTATATGTGTGTCTTTTTTTTTTTATCTTACAGCCGGGATGCTAGAGAATAGGCAATCTGTATCAATCCAGCTACTATAGGACAGAACTTTATTAAACTATAAATACCAAAACACATCAGGCAACCTAAAAGACACTTAATGGTGAAGCATGTGTTATGGTAACATTGCCTGGAAGGGTTCTGGAGACATCACAAGATTGTAACACAATGTCTCCCATTCTCTAGAGATGGTATAAACCTACACAAAATTGCATAAATCTGCAAAACTATATAGATTGATTTGTATATTTCTAATGTGCTTCTTATTGCTAGTCCATATAATTAAAATATTTACTCTGCTTCTTACCAGTGATAGAATGGATTTGTTCATGTTATTGCCTTATCCATGTAATGAATGCAAAGTTTAAAAAGTTTTGCTAATGTATATCTTGTTTTAGTGCAATACAGATTGATATGAACTCAATTATTTTCTCAATTGTGTGTTCAACTATTTGAAAATAAACAATTAAATATTTAAATGTGATATCATTATAATATAACAATACATAATATAATAATCGTAATACAACCATAAAGAGTTTTGATTCACAGATTATAATATGGATTGTATTAATATATTTTTTATTTACATACGGTGGGATAAAAATAATCAAAAAGGAAACTAATCGTATAATATGATGTTGTCCTACATCAATGTGGTGGTGCTTACAAAACATTTCTGATCTGTCAGTTCCAGATTAGTTCTAATCTATTTATGTAAAGCTCTAAATGTTCAAAATGTAAAAAAAAAACAAAAAAACACAACATAATTAGAAGATAATTTCCTGAATTCAAAATAACAGTAGCATTATGCAGATATTTAACATTTGACAGAGTTTATTCCAGAGAGACTGCTTAGATTAAAAACAACCACTGGGTTGCACTCTTGCACAGCTTACTGTTTTTTTTCCCCAAGATATCTTACTGTAATCAAACAAGCACAGCAGATGGGCATAGCTAAACTATAAGTGATACCACTGCAAATGGAGAAATGCTTACTGCTTCATGAAAGAACAAAACAAAGATGTGCCCTAAAATCATAAGCAAAAAAGAGACAAAAATAAATAAATACATAAAAATCAAAGGCTGTGGTTATTCCTCTAGATGAGAAGAGAGTATAGCAAAAAGCAAAACAAAGGACTACTGTATAGTTTGAGTAAAGCAGATTGAACCACTTTAGAGAATAAATAGAGGAACAACAAAGTGCATGTTATGGAAAAATAATATACTTAAGCGGTTTTAGAGATATATGGATGTCTCTAGAACACTAAAATGGTACTTCTTAGTGTTATGTACCTGTTACATTTTATTTTATTTTGTAAGTGTTGTTCTTAAATTATTTTAGTGTCATTGAAGCAAACACACACAAACGTGTTGGTATTCACTTTCAGGCTTTAGCCACAGCTTATGCCTTTCCATGATCATTAATTATTGTACACTCTCTGTGTTATTATGCATAGCAAGCATTTTGAAAGAGTGGGCAAATAGAGAAGTAGTGGAGGAGAAGGCAGTTGCAATTTATAATATACACAATATCAAGGAGTTCCCAATGTGTATTGTCCTAGGTGCCTTTATTACAAACATTGGACTAGGGGTCACCCAACCCTTGATCCAGTATGTACACCCAAACAACAAGTGCCAATAGGTGTCTCAGTCTCTACCTAGAAGTGCTCCATAATAAAATCATATCCTTTCCAGTCTCAAAAACACACACAAAAAAATAAATCCACAGAAACAGTGTATCAGTCATACCTTCAAATACGTACAGAAACTTCCGTAAAATATTTATAGTATGAGATATATATATATATATATATATATATATCTTCTTCTTCTTCTTCTTCTTCTTCTTCTCATATATATATATATATATATATATATATATATATTTATTTATTTATTTAACCCCTTAAGTACCAAACTTCGGGAATAAAAGGGAATCATGACATGTCACACATGTCATGTGTCCTTAAGGGGTTAATGAGACACTGTGGGCACCAGAATCACTAGAGTTTATTTAGTTGTTTTAGGACAGAAAGACTATTTCTACAGGCTCAACAGCATAACAAAATTGGATTCAAGGCTGAACTTGATGGGCTTAAGTCTTTGTTCGACCTAGACAACTATGTAACAGTGCAAACACTGGCCTTTATGAGAAAATGTAGTGCTTACATTGTTGCTTAACACCAACATTAGTGGCTGACACTTTAACAGCCACTAAATGGTCTTCCTAGACAAGAATCTGCAAACATTAAAGGACCAATGTTTAGTGACTTTATGCACTGCAAGTGTTCCATAGAGATGCATTGATTTAATGCTCCTCTAGCAGGAGATGCAGATAGGTTGCCACTCATCAATTACAATGCATTCCCACTAACTCTGTTAAATAATTCCTTTAGGAAAGCATTGGATTAGCTGACATCAGTAATGATGACCTCCACCAGTGGTGAGGCTGTATAAGACTTACGTCCTTTCTGAACTTGGGTACAACAGTTCAGATTTTAATTTTCAAACAATTTCTGAACTATCCCTGACATGATAATACAAGTTCTATACACTCACAAGGATAGAGCCAGTTTATCCACTTGGCTCTAGTGTGGACATGTTAGGAACACAAACAGAATACAAGAGAATTCTGATTCCTCTTCTTTAAGGTGTCTTTGCCTTGCAGCTTGGTGAGTGATAAAACAAAGGAAATTCCATAATATAATATTATATAACCCATGGTAAAGGGAAGAGAAAGTGTGAAGAAGTGATCACACCCACAGGAAAGTTTGCGTTAAAATGTATTGAATACAAAAAAAAAAAAAAGGAGAAAAAAAAAAAACTTTAACCATACAATACCCAAATGGGATATTAGATTAATATGTACAATAGTATCCAATCTCTAAAACACATTTCAGCTGTTACAGGCTTTCTCACTTGATTGAATGTGAATAACTTTGCTTTCTCCTCAAGGGTCCTTGTATGAGTCCTTAATTTAATTTTAATTGGATTCCTGGTCCTCCTTCTGATTTGTTGTAGTTTCGTTTCCTGTGACGCGTTAAAGGTAATTTTCTTTTGTTTTTTGATATATTTTATTTAGTCTTGGAAATGCATCATTCATTACACAGATCAGATCTTTTGTTTGCATAATTTTCTATGATGCTAGTACCACTCACATCACTTTGTCTGGTATTGTTCTGTCTTTTGTAATTCTAATGATTTTTTTAATAACATTTCTATATGGTTTCCCTTGTCCACATATATATATATATATATATATATATATATGAACAGAAATATGCACACTAGTCAAGCCATAAGACTTGCTTTTCGCACAGGAATCATAAATTTGCAGTGATGTTACTACCGCAAAGGATTCTGGGTGGGCATATGCAAATTAGTTCAACAAAGAATCACATTTTTGCCTCATTTCATTTTAAACATGTATTCCTTTGAGTCTGTGTTTGCTGTATACAACGGCTTTGAAACACAACTTGGGAAAAGATGCAAAGTCAGTGAACCACTCATGGACACTTGTTTCATTGTTAATGCAAATCCTCAGCATAAGGTTGGTTACTGGCTTGCTAGTGAGGCTTGGCAGTGCTTGTGAAGCAAAAACCAAAAAAGGTATTGTGGGGAAAAATTGTGATTGAAAATCCCTTCCACTTGACGTCTGTGGATAGTTAATACAATGTTACACAGAAATCTGC